ACACCGCTGACGCCGCGGCGGGCACTGGGCCAACGCGGAGTCGATGTAGGGCCGCGAGCCAGACGCCCGAGGCAGCGTCGAAGGGAACGCCACGGCCGTGTTTGTCAAAGGGCTTCTCGTCGAGGTGGTAGATGTGGAACGCGAGCACGAGCCCGCGAAGATCCGCGCCGCGGGACCATTCGCCGGCGTGCTCGGCCGCGCTGCCCAGCCCAAGACGGCAGAAAGAACCAGGCAGGAAGGAGCGCGGCAGTGCCGCGAGGTGCCAGAGCTTCCTGCACGAGGGGCAATGCGTAATGTCGTCCCCCGCGCCCTCCCAGCCGACAAGGCAGGGTCGCCGCTGCGTGATATGCCTGCGGCCAGCCGTGGTCCCCCCCCCAAACGTCTTGAGAGCCGCCCACTGCAACGATGGAGGCACCTGCACCAGCAGACGGCGCAGCGCAGCCCAGCGGGCTTGCAGCGCGAGCGGCACGCCAAGTCCCCAGGCGTGAAGCCGCTTCCGTAGGGTCACCACCATCGCCTCGGGGTACAGCGGACGAGGAACGCATGAAGGACGTCTGCGCCGTGGGCTTCCTCCTCAGCAGCGCTGCCGCCCTGTGCTCCGCCTCCGCCGCGGCGATTGCTGCCCGGACCCGCAGCGCCGGCACGGCCGGCTGGGCCTCCCTGGCCACCGCGCTCGCGCATTCCTGGACGGTGGCTCTGCGTAGCATCAGCAGGGCGAGGAGAAGTCGCCCTCCCGCGCTCGCAACCACGGGAGGTGCTCCTCGGCTGCCGTGGCGAGCTGCTGCAAGTGCGCCTGCCAGCCAGAGGCCGTCCTCGAGGCAGCGCGCCATCGGATGCCCAGCGCGTGAGGCGGAAGCGCCGCTGGCGCAGGTGACTTCGGCCAATTCGCCAGTTTTGCGGAAGGTCGATGGTGGGAGGCGCAAGCCCTTTTGGAGCAACATATGCTCACGACTGCAGGCCGCGGGGAGCCATGGGAAGAGCCAGAGCTGGGTCACGTGCGGCAAGCAGCTGATGAAGGCTGCGTTGTAAGCCCGCACCGAGAGGCTCAATGGTGAGCCAGACGCGCCTATCCTATGGCATGGCTCCAGCAACACTGTTTCAAGCAGGGCAACTCCTAGACCACGTCAAGGGACACCGCGGGCCCGATGAGGGCGCCCAGGAACTTGCCTCCGCCGTCGATCTGGAAAAAATCCCACCCGCACTTAAGCATCTCGGCCAGCCTCTCGTGCAGCGTCTGCGCCAACGCTGCGTCGCAGGCTGCCCATAGGGGGGGGGGCTATGGCGCATTCCTGGCCGCCAGAGCGAGGTTCGCCAACGCCTGAACCTGAGAGAAGACTCCGCCACCTGGGTCATCCTCGTTAGTCGCAGCATCAGTAGGCCCAAGTCATCCGCGTAAGCGGACAGCATGCCTTCGTCGCGACCGCGACCAGCAGGGCCCTCACCACCAGGTCCATGGAGACTCACCAGAGCGCACCGCCGAGGGGGCACCCCTGTATCACGCCGCTGGGCAGCACGAACATGATGCAATAGGCGCCAGACTCAGCCGGCTCGCAGCACGCTGCCATCGCAACGCAGTTCATGCACAGCGCGCCGATGACGTTGATGTGGCCGCGCGGTATCCCGCATCCCGGCAGACAGCGCTGCATCCATCGCCTGAAAAGCGACGGGGACGTCGCCTTGAAGTCGAAGGACGTGAAAGTGGGTCACCGCGCGAACGCCGACTGGGGCAGGCAAGCGCGTCGGCACTCAGCATCCATGGCGGGGATGTGGTCCAGGAAGTTGCGGCCAGGCGTGAATCCCTGGACCTCGCGTGTCAGGGTCGCCACTTGCCGCAGTGTCCTGTCCGAGCAGCTGGCGATCAGCATAACGTCAGTACTACTCGATGAGAGGGGCCCCAGGTTTGCCCGCCTCCCGCAAGCAGGAGTCGTCGAGCTGGTCCTCCGAGCCCGTCGGAGCCGTCGCGACGATGCCATCATCGACATCGTGCGGGGCCACTCCCGTCATAAAAGGACGACGGTGGCACCGCAGCTGCGCCTCCACGCCGCGTCAAGGGGCCCTGTCGGGGCCACGCGCGCCGCGGGCAGCCCGGGCTGCCGCTCTGTTCAGTGCCTCCAGGCACGGCATCGGGAGGTCCACCGGCGGCGCCGCCGGCGCGTGCTGGTCCAGGAACGCGTCGATCCCCGAATCACCAGCGGATTGAAAGAACAAACGCAGGTCCCCAGAAATGCCGGACCTCGCGCTTCATCCGCAGCATCGGAGACGACGCGCGCCTCGGGATGGGGCAACTCCAGAGGTAAGGGTGGAACGTTGCACAAGTTCCCGTGGTGCTGCTCCCCATGTCCGAGCACCGACGCCGCCGGGGCCGAGATCTTGATTCCAGAGACCTTCCCAAACATGCCACGTCCTGTTTTTCTCAGGACGGCGCCCCCGAAGTCCCGACCCTTTCCCTGGAGCCGTTTTTTCTCTGACGGCATGGGAGCAACAATAGTTTCGCATACTGTGATTGTACTGATGGACGCTGCCACGAGTGGGAGTGAGAAGGCCATGCCACGCGACACCTCGGCCTCGGGCGACACCGCCAGCTCACTCGAAAAGATTATACATGTCTTGCTCGCCGCTGCAGCGCCTCCGAACTGGAAGGCTGCCTCGTGCGGTTGAAGGCCGTACGCTGCAACGGTGCCGCACGCAATTGGCGGGCGGTCAAGCATTGCACGTTGAAAGAAACCCTGAGACGAAACTGGCGTTCATCACGGGCTGAGGGCGGGTCATCTCCACAGGAAAATAAAAAGTCTGCAGCCCCATCGTCGGCTTCCCATATTGCCGGATCTGCATTCATGGTGATGTGGTCTGACGCCAAAGGAGATGGCGCCTGAGCTGGCGTCGGTCGTTTTTTGACGGTCCCAGGGCCCGGCGAGGGCCTCGAGAGGCCGAAAACAACAAGAAAACCTGGGTCCTGAAACGTTTACGACGCGATCATGCCTCAGTTCATTCGGCGCGGCCATGCAGGGCACCCAAGGCGACGCCTGACGCTCGGCTACCCTCTCCATCCGCTTCTTTCACCCGGGGCCCTCGCGCGCAGGGGCCCGGCGAGCCCGGCGCGCGGCGGGTTTCCTCCTCCGCTCCAGCGCGGTGGGCGCGGTGGGCGCGGTGTCGTCGAACTCCCGCTCGAATTTGGGCGACCCAAAAGGGGGACCAGCTACAAGGGGGCGGTGCAGTAGATTTAGGGCAGTTGTACTGCAAATGTATGGCGCTGGAGAATTGTATTGCGATGTATTGCAAGTAATACATTGCACGCGAAAATCCAGCAATACAGTTGCGCCCCAGACTGTATTGCACGCCCCAAATGTACTGCTGACCCACACATCTATTGCACCAAATCTATTGCACCGACCCCTTGACGCTGGACCCGCTTTTGGGTCAACCCGGTCGAAGGTGGTCGGGTCTCGGAGCCGCACCTCGTCGCTGATGACTTCCAGGTTGTTCTGGCGCCGACGGTCGTCGTGGAGATAAGCAGCGAGGCCAGCACCGCATCCTGGCGCCAGACCGAGCGGGCCGCACTTCTCCAGGGCCATGAGCCAGCAAGGCGTGATCGCTGAGCTGCTGGTCCGAGAGGTCCGCAGCGCCGTGGAGCGGACGCAGCAGCACTGCAGCATTGAGCATGGCGTGGGCGGGGCCCGACACGAAGACGCGATCGATGCTCGTCATGACGCTGACGCGCGTGCGCTTGTCGTAGCGCGTGGACCAGTCCGCCTCGACCTCAACTATGAGGCCGGAGAGCTGGCGCCAAGCTTCCTGTCGCTGCTATTGTCGTCGCTCCAGTCGCAGCACGAGCCTCTGCGACAACGGGCGGCGGTGCGACATCGGGGGCAGGTCCGAGACGTTGAAATCCCCGAGCGCCACGAACACTCGATGCCTCACGTCCGCCTCCGCCCACCTATAGCCGTTGAACCCACTGGAAGTCATCCAGCGTGAGGTCATGGTTGTGGACATTGAGCAGGTCCATGTGATGCACGCCGTCGGGGCTCGAGATGCGGAGCGACGCCACCCGCCCCTGCACTTCGCGCGAGAAGAGGTAGGCCGGCTCTGGTTGAGCTGGCGGCGTCTCGGGGACCAGGAAGGCCACGCCGCCAACCGCCGCCGACGGGCCAGAATAGTGAAAGATCTTGACGGCGAGAGCCAAAAGGCCCACAATGGACGGGTGCTAAAGCCAATCCGTGTTGGCCAGGTGGGAAGCCGTCGCCTCCTGGAACCGCCTGGCCACGTCGTCCCTGTCGAGCACGAGCCGCGTCAATGCCGGCTGACTCCACTGGATCGTAGTGTCTTCCGTGGGGGGTTCGCCGACCACCAAGTGCTCAAGCGGAGCCGCATCAGACGCGAATAGGAGGAGAAGGAGGAGGAGGAGGAGGAGAAGGAGGAGGAGGAGGAGGAGGGGGAGGGTAACAAAAGACAAGAGCACTTACAAGCTAATTGTTCGGTGTCTGACTTGCTGGGCTGCCTTGAGCAGCACTTGAATATAGACATGACATATGGACATTGGATTTGCGAGCGCATTGAATTAGCGCCTACCAGCGGCTCTGCGGGGGGGGGGGATTACACTGCCTAAAGAAGGACAACGCTGGGGGGAAAAGGGCCCCTCCGCGGCCCTCCAGAGCCACCTTATCTTCTGGAAGCTAGAATCGCAAAGGAGGAGGACGGGAAAAGAAAATAACACGATGGAATCGGGATGGCGTTGTCCTCCGCTGCTCTCGGCGGATTTACTGGGCTTCCTGGAGGGAAGATGGGCAGGAAGGGGAAGAGGAGGATGGATCGGAAAATGTGGAGAAACTGCTGATTGAGAGTGAGGACGAATTTGGTGAATAAGCGGGTGACGACTGTTGCTGCTACTTGGTGGGGGGGAGGGGTAGCATGTTTTTCCAAGTGGTTTCTATGGTGCTCTGACGGGTCTAATAATACAAAAGAGAGGGCAACAACCAGACGAGGATTGCATTCAGGGTCAGGACGGACATGCGCACGACGAGAAGCGAACGACAGATAATAAGAAAGTTGGGGATATCAAGGAGGAGGATGAAGATGGAACACAACTCCTGCTGAATGTACCGGGTCTGGCCACAGAGTGCAAGATAGCGAAGGCTGAAGGCCACGTGCATCATGAAAGACTGCCTGGCGGCGAAATAAGAAAATGGAAACGGACACGACCCCGAAGCAAGTGACCAGCTTGCTCGCTGACCTCATGCTCTTCAAAGAATGCGGCCTCTGCGCCGCGGCGGCCTTCACCCCTCCACGTGTTGGCAAGGACTGACGTTGATCGTCATCGTCAGCTTCCTCGTTGGCTCGGTTTTCTTGGGGTTGACCGCAGACATCGTAAGTCCTTCAATATGGCGGGACTGGGAGCGCTGGCCTCAATTGGGACTTCGGCAGCCAGACGGGCGAATCATGAAGTTCGCATTTCCTATCTCCAATGGTGGGATGGCGATCCCTGCAAAGCGGGGTCGCCCTCCGCATCTGTCCTCCTCCATCCTCCCCCTCCCCCTCCCCCTCCCCCTCCCCCTCCCCCCTCCTCCTCCTCCTCTCCTCCTCCTCCTCTTCCCTCCTCCTCCTCCTCCTGCTCCCTCTTTTGTGCTCTCTCCTCCTCCTCCTCCTCCTCCCCCTCCTCCTCTCCATCCTCCTCCTCCTCCTCGAGCGTTCGCCCTCTCTGTTCCCAAAGGTAAAACGGCGATCCCTGCAGAGAATCAGCCAGACGGGCGCGGGGCGCTGGGCAAGGATAGCGCGGCGCGTGCACTGGCAGATCGCCAGAAGCGCAAAGCCCGCGGTGGCCTCGCAGCGTCGCTCGGCGTCGACCACCGGCCCCCAGCGTCCAACAAGGCCCCCCCCCCAAAGAGGCCCCCCAGGGAGGCCCACGAGAGACCCCAAGAGGCAGCATTCAGTGGGCATCCGAGGGGCCCTTGGTCCACGAGGCAGGCGCGGGTGCGGGAGGGACCGAAGGGCACCTCATCCGCTGCGCCCGCGGTCCGCCTGGGGGTGGCACAAAGGTGGGGCACAACGGTGAGGCAGGGGCAAAGATGGGGTTGAAGGAAAAACCGCTCCAGACGGCCACTGGAGGAAGGAAGCGCGTTAAACAGGAACATCTGGCTGGGCCCGCTCCCCAGCCCCACCTTGGGATAACCCTCCCTCTACGACCCCCCGATATAACTCTGACGGCTCGTTCCAAGAATGTTTCCGGTGGCCTCTGGCCCAGCCCGCCAGCCCTGCGGCAAAGGTGCACCCCGACCCGAGGATGTTCCTCTCAGAGGGCATTCGCAAATGCCACGGGCTGCCCAAGCTGGCCTGCACGACGGTCCAAAGACGCAGACGGCCAACATGGCCCCAAGATGGCCGAGTGACGACGCAATATGGCTTCAAGACGGCCTCCGGTGGCCTCAAGACGGCTCGAGAGGCCCGCGATACAGCCCAAGACGGCTCCAAGAGCCCCTCCCGCGGGCCGAAAGACATCCTAATCTTTGAGAGAGCGTGATCCACCGCCGCTTTACTGTGGAAAATTGCCCCCCTCTTCCTCCGGAACCCGGGGTCCCCCCCCCCGCTGAAAATCCCCCCCCCCCCCTGCTGGACCCCCCCCCTCCCCTCTCCCGGCCCCCCACCCCCCTCCCTCCCTCCCCCCCCCCTCCCCCTCGAAAACCAGGGGGGGGGTCACTACGGTTCGAACCCCCCCCCCCTCGAAAACCGGAGGGGGGGTCACTACCGGTTCGAACCCCTCCCCACCCCCCCACTCACCGCCAGCAAACGACTCCCGGTCCCTACCACCGTCCGCGCCACATCCCCCACTGTTGTTCCCAGCACCACTGTCCTCACCACCACTGTCCCCACTGGTTCCACCACCGTCCCTACTATCCCCACCAGTGCTCCCACCACTGTCGCACTGTCCCCACTGTCCCCACCACTGTTCTCACCACGGTTCCACTCTCCCCACTTTCTCCACGGCCCCAACCACTGCCCGACTATCCCCACCGTCCCCACTGTCCCACTGACTCCTCCGCTGTCCCACTGAGCTGTCCCACTGTTCCCACCACTGTCCCCGCTGTCCCCACCACTGTCCCCACCGTACCTCTGTCCCATTGTCCCACTGCCGTCCTCGCCACCGCCTTCACCACTGTACCCACTACCACTGTACCCTCCACTGTCTCACTGTTTCCACCTCCCCCTGTCCCCACACCACTGTCCCCACCACCACCGTCCCCACCACTGTCCACTGTCCCCACTGTTCCCACCATTGTCCTCACCACTGTCCCCACCACTACAGTCCCCACAACTGTCCCACTGTCCCCACCACTGTCCCGCTGTCTCCTCACCACTGTCCCCACCACCACCGTCCCCACCACTGTCCGCACCCCCCCTCAGTTTTCGAGGAGGGGGGGGGGTCGAACCCCGGTAGTGACGCCCCCCGGTTTTCGAGGGGTGGGGGGGTGGGGGGGGTCGAACCGGTAGTGAGCCCCCCCCTTTTCATGATGAACTGGGGGGGGGGAGGGGTTCGAACCGGTAGTGACCCCCCCCGGTTTTCCGGAGGGGGGGGAGTGGTTCGAACCGGTAGTGATCCCCCCCGGTTTTCCGCCAGCAGCGGTAGAACACGCTCTTTCGAATCGTTGACCCCCCTTAGATTACTCAACGAGTTCAGCCTTCTTGCCTTCCGGATTTCCAACAACCCAAGATGGCCCCAGGTCTTCAAGATAGCGCCAAGATGGTCCGATCAGCCCGCAGGAGAGCACCAAGACGGTCCTACAACGTCCGAGGAGGGCCCCAAGACGGCCCAAACGAGACTCCCTTAAGACGGCCTCGAAGACGTCAGCCACGCCATGAGGGCCGTAAAACTGCCCAAGAGGCCCTCAAGAGGCCCCCAGGGGACCTTGAGAGGCCCCTGAGAGGACCCAAAGAGGCTTCCAGGAGGCCTCCAAGAGGCCTCCAAGGATCCCCCAGGAAGCCTCCAGGAGGCCCCAAGAGGCTCGCAACTCCACCTTGTCCTCCTGCTCCTCCTGTTCCTCCTTTATCGTTTCCACAACGGCTGGGAAACCACATTCCCCAATATCTTGGCAAGACGTTGGTCCAACGTTTGGCCACATGCGCGCTTCTCAACGACATAGGTGTGGCCGTATGCGTCTTCGACAATTGGTCGAGATCCCTCGGCCGCCGTGCATGCGAAGCGTGCAGCGCGACCGCGCAACACCGTCAAGTATCGACGATAGTTCAAGCATCGCCAGCAATGCGAGTGCCAGCGACACAACAGGGAACACTTCGGCAACACACTCAGCATACGCATCGACGGCAACATCGCTTGCCCTTGTCCCCGTCCTCTCCTGATGCCTCTGGGGAGGGGCGGCCTCGTGTGAGGCTGCGGCCTCGTGGGGATGCACTGCAGCAGACACCTGAGCCTCCTTGCGCAGGGAGGGACAGAAGGGAGATGATGGGCCTGTTTTCCACCACCACCACCACCACCACCACCACCATAAGTTGGAGGGGGGAAGGAGGAGGAGGACGAGGACGAGGAGGAGGAGGAGGAGGAGGAGGAGGAGGAGGAGGAGGACTCCCTCCCCCTCCAACTTATGGTGGTGGTGATGGAAAGCAGGCGCATTAGGAGAGGGGAGAAAGGAGAGAGGCGAATGATGTAAATGGGAGTGCGAGGAGAAGGGGGCAGGGGGGTGCAGACGAGGAACGAACAGGAAGGGGCCCACCGTAGGGGGCGAGGATAGCAAGGAAGGATGAGTAGGAGGAAAGAGATGGCAGAGGGGAGATGGGGAGGTAGAGAAGCGAAGGGGCGAGGACAAGACAAGACGACGACGAAGATCGACGACGACGACGACACCGGCCATTACGTCGACGAATGCGACACCGACGGGCCGGTTTGCGATCAGGTCGAAGCAATGTTGGACCAGGTACATTTGGCTCGCAGTGCCCGTCATGGGGGTCTCTTCGGGGCCACTTGGGGCATTACTCTGCCATCTCCGAGTCACACCGGGCAGTCTGCAGCCCTCCCCAGATTCCTCGATCTATATTTTTTCAAGCCCGGGCGGGGGGAAAACCCGTCCCCCCCTCCCCCCAAAAAAACGGACTCCCAGGATCTGGGGCTTTGGGAACCTCCAGACGGGCCTCGAAGCGGCCCCCGGGCCTCGCAGGGCGTTTTGCCAAGCCTTCCCAGCACACCTAGGGCGATCAGGGCGGTCATCGGAGACGTCCCAGAGACCCCCAAGACAGCACAAGAGCGCTCCAACAGTGGCCGACGTGACCTCAAGATGGCCCAAGAGGCCTCCAGGACGGCCCCAAAGAGGCCTCCAAGAGCACTCCCAAGAAGGCCCCCCGAGGCAAAAACCATTGATTTTCTATTGGTTTTTGGTGAAGTCTGCGGTTCTCCTCTATTCGGCTTTCCGACGCTCCAAGACTGCGATCTTCTGGGCGTTCGAAGCCGCCTGGGGGGCTCCAAAATCGCCCCGCAACCATCCGAAAAGGCTTCCAGGTAGTCCAAGAGAGCCCCAAAACGGCACAACACGGGTCCAAGATGGCCCTCAAAGAGCCCCATGGCGGCCCAAAATGGCCCAAAGACACCCTCCGAAGCATTCCGAATCGTGACCCGGTCGTTCAGGGAGACCGCGGTTGGAGGCAGGGTGGCCCGAGGAAGCCCCCGGAGGCCCCCAGAATACGCCCAGGAGGCCTCCATAAGGCCGTAAGAAAGCCTGAAACAACGTTTGTGAGGCCCCCAGAGGCTCTCCAAGGAGGAGCCTCCGCAAAAAAGAGCTGAGGAGGATAGGGAGTGTGCGCAGGGTATGGCGAACATAAGGAAACAGAAGCATGGAGAAAGGATGACGAATAACATTATTATAGCGGCGATGCCGGAAAAGGCAACAAGGAGTTATCGCTAAATTGTCGGCTTGGCCTTCCTGCTATTTCGCCGGCATGTCAAACTTCAAGGACCAAGGTGCATGGCGCGAAGCGCCACTGCAGTCTTGTATATATATATATATATATATATGTATATCTATATCTAAAGGTAGAGAGGTGTACCATGTATACGCAGATTATATGCACATGTACATTTACATTTGTGCATAGACATATACATCTACACATACACGTGTTTGTCATATATGAATACCCAAATCGGCCCCCATATCTGAATATATACACACATACATATAAATACAACCATAACTAAGACATGCGACATCTTCACCCTAAAGAGACATATAATCAGAGAGAGAGACGGAGAGAGCAAGAGACGGAGGAAGAGAGCGAGAGCGAGAGAGAGAAAGAGAGAGAGGAGAGAGAGAGAGGGAGAGGAGAGAGAGGGAGAGGGTCAGTTGGTGAGGAGGCGGGGAGCCCTTCTGGGTTCCCTTTGACACCGCAGGGCTCGGCAAGTGCACTGCCGTGGCTCACGCCCCCCGCGGACCTCTCCCCCCACGGCGCGCGCTCCGCTCGCTGCCTCGCCCCGCGCGGCCTGCTCGTTGCCGCGGTGCTTTTCATTGCCTGCTCGTTTCGGCTCCACGGCGGCCTTTGACCCACCAGGCGTTGCCTTATGCGGGCAGCGGAGCAGCAGCGCGGCGAGCGCCACGCAGCCGCAGCTGCTCTCCTGCGCAGAGAGGCTCCGCCCGCGCGCAGCTGACTGCGGAATGCCGCGCACCCTGTGTGACCCCTTTTCGGGCCGGCTGCAGCAGACATAGGGCGACGGGAGGATCTGCACGTGTCGATCGCCCCCTGGCCTGGGCGCGAAGTTTTGGGGGGCGGTTCCTTGGATGGGGGGGAGGGGTGCCCCTCTGTCGGGCCCCACAGGCGTCTGGGGCCCCAAGAGGGCCCCTGTCCGGGGCTCCGGAGGGCCCCACTTTTTTGGCAGCTCATAAGGGCCTTTTCGGCAGCCCTCGCTGCCCCCCCTCCCATTGATCGCCCCCCGCGAGTCCTCGCCCGACATGCCATGCGCGTCCTGGGCCCAGGAGCGGTGTGTGTGTGTGTATGTGTATCTGTGTGTGTGGTGTGTGTGTGTGTGTGTGTGTGTGTGTGTGCGTCTGTGTGTGTGTGTGACCCCCCCCCCCCCCCCCCTGGCCTGGCCAGGGGAGCACCTATGCACCGCTCCTGGGACCAGGAGGCGGCGGCAAGGCCTGGGGGGCGGCCGAGACGTGCAGATCACGCTGCCCTACGTGAAGTCGCTCGGGTCAGCCCTGCGCGAGGACGGGTCCTGAAGAGTAAAACAGCTGCCCCTCCCCCCTCAGGCCAATCACAAGAGGGAGAGAACAGCAGCGGCTGCGGAAGCAGGAAGATGGAATTCACAGTGCCTGGACTGAATCGTTGCGGATTGTCGGCTCTCCTGAAAATGCTGCGCCTATGTCGACAGACATACTCAGGGAGCGCAACGCACCTAGCGATCAGAAGACGAACGTGCGAAATCTGAGTCGTTGTCTCACCTGAGTTTGGGAGGTGCGCGTCTTCCTGGTACCCAGAACCGGCTTACATTCAATATCAAACCGCCTGTGATCTTCGTCCGTGCGATGGTTCTGCAAGGGCGAGCGTGTGAGCGGGCTCATGTCGCAATGTGTTCAACACGGGGCTTAGCAAGCAAGACATGTGCCTACACGAGACACGCCCACCTCTCAAACTTCGAACTGCAATGAACCAAAGCGCTCCGTCACGAAGCGGAAAAAGCGCTCAGTCGAATTCTTGCGGCGCAATGATGCATTGTCCGACAATGCTGGTGGACGGCGAAACACTGCGCCTCACCCGCACTGCCTAGCTCACTCCCTCCATCAATGCGCCCCATGCCGCAGCTTTATGCGGATGTAGTGTAGCCTGCTCGCTGCTGGCAACTGTCAGCTCGATTGGTGCTATCAGGGCACCCAGCCTCCTGCTGCCAGCAATTCACGGTCTGCTAATGCCGAGGTCCAAGCCGTGCGCGGGGGAACGCGCTTGCACTGAACCGGCGCAGGCATCACAATAACCGAACGACGTAAACGATTTCTGACGATCAATCCGAAGGCTACTACACATCATTGAATTGGCAAAGGCGGTGAGTCTGCGCAAGACTGGTCCCGTTGTTCTACGCATCGCCACTGGCTCTTTCGGACATCGCACCTGATGTCCCCAGCAGTGACGCATGGGCGCATCTTTCCTGAATCCTGGCGACGACGACGCATCGGATAGCGAGGCCTCTGTGGACCCCGAACGCCTGGCTGCGCGCAGCCAGGAGGCAGGGCGAGGGGTGCGACGATCTATCTATCACAGGGCCGGGGCCTCCACCTACAAGGGTCCCGCCCCGACGAGAGGCCTCCTGGATTGCAAGCGGGCCTTCTGCGTGACACTGCCCCCCGCCCCCGCTCCCTTCGGCGGCTCAGAGATGGGGCCCTGAGGGTTCGGAGTGACGACCGGCCTCGGCCTCGGCCTCGAGCCAGCGGGGCCTCAACGCTTGGGATCCTTTTGCCATCCTTGAGACCACGCCCCTCAGGGCCCAATCTTTCCGCGCGTACCGTCTGACCTTTCTCCGCCCCCCACTCTCCGCCGCCGCTTCGCGCCCCAGCCCTCACTGTGCGCCCAACGGGCGGGCGCAGCCCTCACCCTGCACGAACGGGTGCCGCAACGCCTCTGCGGCGGTCATCCGCTTCTCGGGGTCGCGGGCCAGCAGGGACTCCAACAGGTCGAGCGCCGGCAGCGGTATGCGCATGGAGACCGCCTGTAGCCGCAGCCTGACGTACCGTGGGCCGCACACCTTCTCCCTGGCCTCCTGGCGGAGCATCTGGCGCACCACCTCGTCGGGGCTTCGCGGGTTCTCCACCTGGATGAGCGGCTCACCCGTGAGCATCAGGAACAGGACGGCGCCCAGCGCCCACAGGTCCGCCGGCAGGCCGAATCCGGCCCCGTTGTGCCCGAGGACCTCTGGTGCGGAGTACTCGATGGTGCCTCCGCGGACGTCCAGGAACTGGCCCATCTCGCACCTGTCGGCGAGCCCGAAGTCGATCAACTTCACGGCCGCCTCACTCTCCTCGGACTCGAAGACAAAATCCGCCCCTGCGCTGTGCAGTGATCTGTGCGTGCGTGCGTGTGTGCGTGTGTGCGTGCGTGCGTGCTTGCGTGCGTGCGTTTGTGTGTGTGTGGTGTGTGTGTGTGTGGTGTGTGTGTGTGTGTGTGTGTGTGTGTGTGTGTGTGTGTGTGTGTGTGAGAGTGTGCGTGTGCGTGTGCGTGTGCGTGTGCGTGTGCGTGTGTGTGCGTGTGCGTGTGTGTGTGTGCGTGTGTGTGTGTGTGTGTGTGTGTGCGTGGGTGTGGGTGTGGGTGTGGGTGTGGGTGTGGGTGTGGGTGTGGGTGTGGGTGTGTGTGTGTGTGGGGGGCGTGCCCTGTTCGGCTAGCCTCGCTCGCTGGAGGGCAGGAGCCCCGGCGCATTGACACCATCGTGAGTACATCGTTGGTTCCAAGACCCTGCGCTGCTCGGCCTCCCGCTCGAAGCGTCTTGTGAAACCGTACCTGTTGCAAGGGGAGGGGGTCTGCGGCCCCTCCCCTCCTCCGCCTCACCTCCTGGCGGCCCCTCTCCCCGCAACCTCTCCCCCTCCCCAGAGCCTTCGCGGAAACGCGCGGCGGCGCCACGGGATTATCTGCCTTGAGGTCCCGGTGGATGACGTGCTGCTTGTGGCAGTGGTTCACTGCCTCCAGCATCTGCCGCATGACTGCCGCCGCCTCCTCCGCGGCCATGCGCCCCGTCTTGTGGAGCCGCGCCTCCAGGGAGGTGCCCGAACACAGCTCCTGCACGAGCAGCACCTCGTCCTGGGTGGCGTAGTGCTCGATGAGCCTCGCGACGTTGGGGTGATCCAGCCGCGCCAGGGCGCCAACCTCGCCCACGGGGCTGGCATCGGCAAAGGTCCGCCTCGGGGCCGCGGCGCGCACCCTCTTCATGGCACGCAGCTCCCGCGTTTGGCGGTGGCGCACGCGGGCGACGACGCCGTACGTCCCCCTGCCGATCTCCTCCTCGACCTCGTAGGCGGCATGGAACTCGTCGGCGCCGCCGCCGAACTTGACCGCCCCCCAGGAGGACCCCGTGCCCGTCGAGAGCGTCTCCTGTCCGAGGCCGGGATCAAGCGCGTCCGCTGACTGCGGGGCACCAGCGCTCCAGGACCCAACGAAACAACGGGCACGGACCTCTTTGGGGTCGCCCGGGCCCAACAGCATCCAGTGGGGGGGTAAACGGATACCGATACCTCTGCTCCCCCGACCTCTCCGGTGGTGTTGTCTGAGATGGATTTCGAGGCGAATCCACCTGTAAGGCAGCGGTATCGGTATCGGTATTTCTTCCTCCTCTGATTCATGTCGAGTCGCCTGCCTCATGGAGTCTGGGACAGCGGCTCCCGGGGCGGTGGAGATGCCCCGAGATCCGACGCTGCGAAAAAAACTCGACAAATGACGACCGTGGCCCCTGATATTATCTTTCTGCTGCGTTGTCCGAGCAGGATCGATCCAGGATGGCCCTGGGCCCGAAGCTTGGGCGCGAAAACGCCTGGCGTGGAAATTACCCTAGCAACACACCCCGAATGGCCACAGGGGTGAAGAGCCGGGACTAAGGTGTGCCAGCAGCCAAGGGACAGGGGTGAGGACACGGCCATGTGCACCGCCGTGCACCTGCTACGAAGGATCGTGGCCGTCCATCGAGGCGGGATTGAGGCGAGACCGCGATTCCCGAATCCATGGCGGATTTCGGAATACCTGAACCCAAAAACGTTTTCATCTCTTGGGGGCGCATGTTTCACTTCGGCCAGCTTCCGCTGGCGGAGGCGGCCTCGTTCTACTTGCGCCGACCTTCCCCCGACCTTCCGTCGCCTTCCGCCGCGGAAGAGATGACAACTCCTTCGATCCCCGAAGGCAAGGCCCTCTTTTGCACCGCCTCGCATATGTTGAGGACGTCTCCAGCGAAACGACTGCCCGGCTGGGCTACTAGGGAGGCGGCCTGGGCACCCCCGCCCACCCTGTGGGACTCCTCCGTGGTCCTGTTCTTACAGTTCGGTCGGGCGTGTCCCCCTACAGGCGGATTTTGGACGGAAAGTTAAGCATACCCACGCCATAGTCGAACATACTCAAAAATAGTTGAAACATCGTCCCAGACTATGTTTTGACTATTTTTGAATATACGTCCGGTAGAGGGACACGCCCGACCTAATCTTACCGCCGTCATAACACTTGGGCCAAGCGCTGCCAGGGACCTTGCAGACCACCGACCTCGAACCGCACAGAGCGGGAATGCCGCTCAGCGGCGCCAGCCAAAGGTTTCCCTTGCCCCTGTGGTCGGGGGCGGGACCTGCGCGAAAGCGCCTGCCAAACCTTCCCTTGGCGACCCGCGAGGGCACCGTCGGGCGGGGCCGACTTGGGCCGACCGGCCAGGGACCGCAGGGGGCATCCAGGCGCAGGCCTCGGACGATTGACCAAAAAAGGACCCCGAACCCTTTTGGGGGGGACTAAGTTGGGGGAGCCAGGAACGGTCGGGATAGGGGGGCTTCGCTGCAGGTGCATCGAGCCAAACCGCCTAGAGAAGTATCATTGCCCCTCATGCACAGACGGGGACCTCCGCGAGGCTACGTCGTCATCGTGTTATTAAGCTTACGGGTTCTATTTATCCTCAACGATCGGATCCTCACACCTGGCGGCCGTGCGCACGGCGGCCGCGCAACGCCGCCGGGGCCCAGGCCGCGGGGGCGACGGGCCGCGGGGGCGCGCCAGCGGAGCCGCCGCGGCGGCGGCGGCGAGCGCGGCGGCCGCCGCGGAGGGCGGGAGCCGGGCGCGGCGAGCGGCAGCGGCGAACATGGCCGGCGGGCGGAGGGGTAGAGCGAGGAAGGGCGACACAGCCACGACCAGCGTGAGGCGCCAGGGGAGGGTCCTCCAGCCTGTTCCCAACCCCCCTCCCGCGTGGTGGGTGCCGGTCTTGGATGCAGCACAGTGGTCTCTCCACCTCCCCTCGCTCCTCCCGCCGTCCTTCTCCTCCCCGCCGCCCTCCCTCCCGCCTCCCTCCTCCAGCCGTCTGCCTTCTCTTCCTGCGCTGCTCCCGTAGAGGCTGCAAGCTGCGCACGTGTTACCACTTGCGTCTGCTCCTGTGAGGTGCAGCGGAGTCGGGGGCCACGCGGATCCAGACGGTACCTCACTGCTCCCTGGAGGCCTGCGAACTGCGCAACTGTCGCCACTTGCGTGGGCTCGTGGGGGGCACGGCGGAGTAGGAGAGTGCGCGCACCCAGCCGAGACCTCGCAGCTCCCTGGGTGGCTGCAAACTGCGCAATCGTCGTCACTTTGGTGAGCTTTTGGGAGGCTCGGCAGAATGTGGGACACGCGCACCCAGACGAGACGGCGCTGCTCCCTGGGGGGCTGCGAACTGCGCAACTGTCGTCACTTTCATCGGCTCCTGGGAGGCTCGGCGGAGCCGGGGGCCACGCACACCCAGACGAGACCTCGCTGCTCCATTGGTGGCTGCGAACTGCGCAAATTACGCCACTCTCGTGGGCGCCTTGAAGGTCCAACGGAGTCGGCGGTCACGAGCATTCAGACGAGCATCCCGACTCCGTGAGAGGTTGTCATCTGCGCAACTGCCGCCACTTACTCGGGCCTCCGAGTGGTCCAGCGGAGTCGAGGGCCACGCGGATTCTTTGGGACCTCGCTGCCTCCTGGGAGGCTGCAAACCGTTTTTGTGGGCTCCTGGGAGGTCCAGCGGGGACGAGAGCCACGCGCACCAATTTGAGCAGCGAGGTTCCATGGGATGCCGCGAACTAAACTGTCGCCACTTTCGTGCGCTCCTGGGGTGTCGGGGGCGACGCGGATCCAGCCGAGACCTCGCTGCCCCCTGGGTTTGCTGCACTGCGCACTTGTCGGATCGAGGGCAGCGCTGATCGTGTTCTGTTGTGTGGAACGTGTATACCAAGACTCGTTTCGTGTGAAGAAGGGACTGGGTACGTGTCGGGTAATTGTTCCCAACCATCCTGTGGTGTTGGGTCCTCGTTTTGAAGAGACGGTGCCCCGCGTCTCCTCTCCTCCTCTTCCTCTCCTCGTCCTCCTCTTCCCCCTCCTCCCTCGTGCCCGCGCCCGCATGCGTCAGCCACACCCATTTCGGCACACCCCTCACACTCCTCTCCAGTGCCCGCGCCCGCATGCGTCAGCCACACCCATTTCGGCACACCCCTCACACGCGTGGCCATAGGGAGCTCCACCGAAGGCCCCAGTGCCCGCGCCCGCATGCGTCAGCCACCCATTTCGGCACACCCCTCACACGTTTCGTGGCTCCATAGGGAGCTCCACCGAAGGCCCCAGTGCCCGCGCCCGCATGCGTCACCCACACCCATTTCGGCACACCCCTCACACGTTTCGTGGCTCCATAGGGAGCTCCACCGAAGGCCCCAGTGCCCGCGCCCGCATGCGTCACCCACACCCATTTCGGCACACCCCTCACACGTTTCGTGGCTCCATAGGGAGCTCCACCGAAGGCCCCAGTGCCCGCGCCCGCATGCGTCACCCACACCCATTTCGGCACACCCCTCACACGTTTCGTGGCTCCATAGGGAGCTCCACCGAAGGCCCCAGTGCCCGCGCCCGCATGCGTCACCCACACCCATTTCGGCACACCCCTCACACGTTTCGTGGCTCCATAGGGAGCTCCACCGAAGGCCCCAGTGCCCGCGCCCGCATGCGTCACCCACACCCATTTCGGCACACCCCTCACACGTTTCGTGGCTCCATAGGGAGCTCCACCGAAGGCCCCAGTGCCCGCGCCCGCATGCGTCACCCACACCCATTTCGGCACACCCCTCACACGTTTCGTGGCTCCATAGGGAGCTCCACCGAAGGCCCCAGTGCCCGCGCCCGCATGCGTCACCCACACCCATTTCGGCACACCCCTCACACGTTTCGTGGCTCCATAGGGAGCTCCACCGAAGGCCCCAGTGCCCGCGCCCGCATGCGTCACCCACACCCATTTCGGCACACCCCTCACACGTTTCGTGGCTCCATAGGGAGCTCCACCGCGGCAAGGCTCCATGTGCCCGCGCCCGCATGCGTCACCCACACCCATTTCGGCACACCCCTCACACGTTTCGTGGCTCCATAGGGAGCTGCGCCGAAGGCCCCAGTGCCCGCGCCCGCATGCGTCAACCACACCCATGTCGGCACGCCCCTCACGCGTTCCGTTGCCCCATAGGGAGCCCCGCCGAAAGTCCCAGCGGGTGTGCCCGCATGCGTCCCGCACACCCATTTCGGCACACCCCTCATACGTTTCGTGGCCCCATAGGGAGCTCCACCGAAGGCCCCAGTGGGTGTGCCCGCATGCGTCCCGCACACCCATTTCGGCACACCCCTCGTACGTTTCGTGGCCCCGTGGGGGGCTCCACCGAGAAGATATTCACAATTGCAGTATTCACAATTGCATATGGTTGGGTCCTTCGCCAGGATAACTTGTTTCCCCGAACCTTTCTGTGTTGGGTTCTCGTCTTGAATAGCCCCGACCTATCATCGCGTTTCCCTCCCCCTGCCTTTTCCTGCCTGCTTCTGCTGCTGTTGCTGCTGCTGCTGCTCCCCGTCCTTCTCGAGAACGGGGGCTTGTGAAGCCCCTCGGGGTTCCAGAGCGCGCGCGCGAGGCTTTCACACTGAGTTCGCGCGTGCGTCTTTCAATGGTGTGCGTACTCTGTGGCGTCCTCCTCTCCTTCCGCCTCCCCCTCCTCCTCCTCCTCCTCCTCCTCCTCCTCCTCCTCCTCCTCCCCCTCCTCATCATCATCATCATCATTTGTTTGTTCTCTCTCCCGCCCTCCCACCCCCAGAAAAAATTCTGGGGGGGGTGGTCGGCGGCGAAAAAAAAGGAATGCGACGTGGCCGCATCTGCCCTCCCCCCCTAGAAGGATTCTTATTGAACGCCCCCACAAGAAGGATTCATAGTGAAATCCTCTACATAAGGATTCCTTTCGAAACCCTCCGCTGAATGATTCCTAATAAAATCCTCCACAGATGGATTCTTATAGGAATCACCCACAGAAGGATTGGTATTGAGATGCTTCGAAAAAAAGCCCCCCGTGGCCATTGGTTTGGCAATGGCTTGCCAT